AAAAAAAAATTGTCTGTGGTTGGGGCGCTGGGTAGTTCAGTTGGTCAAGCATCTGCCTTCAGGTCAGGTCATGATCCCAGAATCCTGGGATGGAGCGCCCCCCTCCCCCACCCTCCCTGCTCAGTGGGGAGTCTGCTTCTCCCTCTGCCCCTCCCCTGCTCCTTCTCCCTCTCCCTTGCTTTCTCTCCCTCTCTCTCTCTTTCATTCTCTCAAATAAATAAATAAAATATTGAAATTGTCTGTGGTACTTAAGTGGGCTAAGAGATTAAGAGAAGAATTACGTAGGCAGTGACCTTAGCCTTAGCTAATGTTTGTTGACTTGAATGATCTAGTTAGATGGAAGGAGGGTGTGAAGTAGGAGAACATGAGTACAGTATAGAAGAATACAACTATACTTTGAATTGTTTTTCAGTATTTACATTGCTTTTTTATCTGGCTATGCAGGTGCTCGTTCCAACTTTTCTGTCTTTTCCTCATGCAGATTAGCCCCTTTGTTACTAGAAGACTTAAATTGGCACTGACTTTTCATCTTAGCTGGAAGGAAGAGATCTCCAGACCACATCATCACTAGAACCCAGAATAAAGGGGTGTTCTAAGACTCCCTTTTAAGTAGGGTAACCACACACATTGGCTTGCTTAAGATAGTCCCTAAAATAGTTTCTGTTTACATTTGTTGTCCATTATTATTAACGAGGTCTCTTTGAGTCTTAAAAATGTTCCGGAGTGGACAATAAATTGACAAGCCCATCCTACTTTCAGCTTTGTTAAAACTCTAGCTCAGTGGTGTATCTGAAAACATTTCAAAAAAATAAAAACTACAAAGATAAACATTAGGAAATACCTATCTGTTTTTGAAGGAAAGAAAAAACTTTCTGTTTTTCTAGGAAAGAAACTCTGAAAGGAAGTACAGCTTAATTGGACAAGTTAAACGGGAAATGCTTGAGATGTAAAAAAAAAAAAAAAAAAATCCATAAAACAAGTTAAAAAAAGAAAAGCAGGTAACAAGCTAGAAAAATATCTGCAAACATTTAATTTGCCTTTTCCACAAATAGGGAGCTTCAATAACTTCAGTCCTTAGGTGGCTGTTACTGTTTTGATAGAGAAAGAAATAGGGATATTAATTGTTCTGGGATATATTTCTTCTCCCAACCTCCCCCCTCCCCCAATGAGCCTTCATGACCTACTTGTGGTTGTCCTATTTTTCCAGATATAAAAGAGCAATGTAATTTCCTTTGTGGCTGTTGTGAACAACCTTAATCTTGTTCTTTTATTATATTGTGTCCTAATTCAAATAAAAATGTGGACGCTAAATACTATATTTCTAATTCTAAAATTATACATCCTTTGAAGGTAATGGTTAAGACCAAGTTAGTGTAAAATGTTCCATGGAAATCTCCAGTTATTTTGGAAAGCCTATGTATATTTACATTATTAGCAAGTAGTAATTTAAATATTATATTAAATATTATATTAAATTATAAGCCAACCCTACATAGAGCAATAGTTAAAATATATTTGAGTTAAATTATAAAAACTCTTTGGTGAGTGGCTTAGTCTTGCTTAAGTGGACTACTTCACGTTTTAAGTACCAGTGATCTAACTAGTTATATAAATTATAACCACAGCATTAATTTTTGTTTTTTT